ACCGTTTTGAAAACTAGCCTCCGAGGGCCATCTGGGCCCGAGCACCATTTTTTGGAGGTCGGGGGGGGTACCGGAAGACGCGCAATTTGAGAAACGGGTCCCCAATGATGCTGATGATGCTGGCCCCCGTGGCCAGCATCATCAGCATCATTGGGGTCCCGTTTGTCCTTTTGCCAGGCTTCTAGGCTGTCTGTGCCCAGTGGGCCAGGCCTGATGGGGTTCCTGAATGTTGGATGTTGGAACCACGGAGGCTATATGAGTCTTCGCGAGTTTTATGATTAGTTTGCCATGGTATTGAAGGATGGGGTGATGGGTTGCAGAACTTATGGTGGTTTTATGCAGGTTTTCTACGTGTTTTATACTCGTTTTATGACAGTTTTACGTTTTTTGCGCGTGGGTTTTCGTAGCGTCCCCCTCCCTGCCCACCCGGCCATCATGTGAAAGCCAAGCCCATGCTGATGCTCCTGATTGAGAGTCATGTGCGACAAACTTATGTTATTGCTACCTGCGATGTTTTTTAGGTGTGGAAGGTTCTATTATCTCTAGCTTTACTGAAAACGGCCGAAAATGAGGTCGCAATGTGCTGATGATGTTCCTGTAAGAGGCGCGCGCGCGCGCCTCGTAGAGAAGCATCATCAGCACAATTGGGAACCCGTTTTGGCTTAATTGGGACCAGAGGGTCAAAAGCCCAAGAAAAACCATCCAAGTACGAAGGCGGCAGGGCCGGCCCTTGCTGCCAGGCCTAAAATCCGGCCCAGCCGTCATGGTCCCGTGCGGGTGCACGCCTAGCCACAGCTATGCTTTATTTCGGGGCGGCACAGGCCGGCCTGGCCGTCCCCTGTCCAAAGCCCAGCCATCATGTGAAGACGAAGCCCACCCGATCGGGAGAAATGCACGAAAACATGCTATTCTTGTAATCTGATATGTTTTTTTGGTTTGGAAGTTCTTGTTCCATCTAGCTAAACTCAAAACGTGCGCGCGCCTCGTACAGGAAGATCATTGGCACAATTGGGACCCCATTTTGGGTCGTTTTGAGTTTAGCTAGATAGAACAAGAACTTCCAAACCAAAAAATGCCAGATGGCAAGAATAGCATTTTTTTCGTGCGTTTCTCCTGATCAGGAGCATCAGCAGAGCCGGGGTGGGCTTGATTTTCACATGATGGCTGGGTTTTGGAAGGGCGACGGCCAAGCCGGCACCTGGCGCCAGGCCCTAAATAAGTAAGGACTATAGTCTATTGGAATCCAAATTGAGGTTCCCCTATTAGGGAAACCATGTTGTGCATTCTCAACTTCTCCGTGTGCCACCTTTGGACCTTCAGTAACTCCAGAACGCCATGGAAGGAAGGCTTCAAGTCAGTAAAAGGGCATGCTGCCAGGAATTACTGTAGGTCACAAGACAATGACAAGGACCTCATAACCCTGGAAAAGACACACGCTCACCTCTACCCCACAATCCAACGGTCCTGCACATGAAACCCATCGGAAAAAAAAACTCAAATTATGCAACCTCAAAGCTCAACCAACTGCTAAAATCCCTCAAGCCTTGAAAGCCTTGAAGTGATCCCTGAAACCTTTACCGGTTGCATCCGAGGATCCAAGCCCCAAAAACCCCAATTAACACACAAAAAAGAACTCTTGTAAACCCTCAAGCCAAAAACACCTGAGCCCCTAGCCCTAAACCGTCGAAAATCCAAAACCGAAAAAGAAAAAAAAAACTCTCAACCTGGAAACAAAAGCGAAAAGCCATGAAAACTGCATGCCAATCCCAACCTGCGGAAATATTTAAGACCTTGAACGATCCTAGAATATCTAAAGTCCTAAGAACCCTATACACCGAAAAACTTAACCTTAAAATTCGAACAAAACCCAATTTCCGGCATGGTGAAAAAAGAACCTCAAGACGAAACAACAGTAAGCATAGAGATTGAACAAGGCTAACGTCCCAAACGCTCACAACGCGGTCACAGGGTCGCACAAGTAACGTTCGTGCCCCCCCTTTTAAGGGAAGCGAGTAGCCTGCGACTCACTCGTGCTTGGGATGCGGGGAACCCATGAAAAGCTGAGCCCGGGGCCCATCATACACCGCGCCAGTCTTGAAGACATGTCTCTTGCGGGCACGCCTGCTGTCACTTGCACGCTGTCAAGGCATGTGCAGTTCCTTCCTCCCCCTACACCACAGAGGAGGCCATGAAACCACCCTCGCCCTGGACAAGACAGTGGGAACTGAGCAACGGACACCAGTGGTCCACCTCCAAAGTGTTGGAGGTTCTGGAGCTCTCCTGCCTTCCAAAGGGCTAAGTTTATTGCTGACGTCCATTCATTCTTCCTCCTTACTAGATCTTGCATATCCGGACCTCTCTGAGGAAGTAGTTCGCAGCCAAGGACTCGGACGTGCCATCATCGGCCTCGCTAAAGAGAAATCACGGAAGGCGAGTGCTGACTCCAGGCCCTTGCGGCTATTGGCGAATTTTCTCCGGATCCTTGGACTATGGCAGTGACAGTTGCAGGTTTGTCCACCCTTCATGATTCGTCATGATGATGGCAATGTGAGGCCAGGCTGCGAAGGTCCTTTGCTTCGGGTAAGCCTGAATGGCCCCACGACCACAGCAAGGGGAGGCAGAGGCAAAGATGCAAAAGTGAGGACGCCGCTGGGCTGAACAGTCTGCCTCGGCTGTCGGTCTATCGAAGATCACGTCTAAAGGCTCATGTAACATTCATCACAGGTGCCGCTGTCTATCGTGAGTGACATCCTTCAGCCGAACAGAACTGGGGGCCGTGTCCTGGCAAGACACAATGGCCTCTCCAAAGCCACATTGCAAGACCCGCGAGACGTGTCAGGGGTACGGCTCCGTCAACGCCGAGGCTTCCCTTCTCCGCCTTCTAACGCGGAGCCATGGAAACGAGAGGAGAAAGGATGTGCTGTAAAGCTCTACAGTTCTATGCTTATATACATCACAGAGCTCGAGTGACACACCACATAATGTTGAATCCCGATGAAATTTTCTTGAAAATTATTCTGCACCGCCTACTTGTATTCGATTTGGGGAATCCCAATATGGTTTTTCTGCCGGAAAAAATTCTAGGCAAGGTTTTGATGGGGCCAAAATGCTTTTGGTTTTAAATTGTTAAAGCCAGGCCTTTACGTGAAAAGGACAGGCTCTATTACCTCTCGAAGCTGGAATTCGATGCCGCAAGAACAGCCGCTGTCTTATTAGACCGCTTATTCTAACAGGCTAGGCAATCAAATTCCAAAGGGAGTAGTCCAGCAGAGCCCCTTAATTCTACACATGATTTGGGGGGCTCAATAATGTAAAGTTTGTTGACCGGGTGCATTGTGAGACCAAAAAGCTATTAGATTTCAAAGGCCTGGGCTTGAAACAAAAGGCTAGGCTCAACTACCTCTCGAATCTGGAATCCAATGCCACCAAAACAACCGAGTTCTTATCAAACCGCTTATCCGAACAGGCTAAGCAATCAAATTCCAAGGGGAGTAGTCCAGCAGAGCTCCTGATCCTCAATGATGTAAAAGATTTGGGGGGTGGAGGGGGGGGTTCAATGATGTGAAAGGTTTTTTGGTTTTGGCTGGGGTAATGGTGACCCCTTTCTATTTTGTGCTTAATGGATTTTGATTGATTTTACAGAAATTTTCTAGATTCAATTAGATGGTATTAATAGGAGCCGAAGGATCCCGCTTCCCGTATTCATGTTAACAGGAGCCATAGGACCCCCAGACCCCCAATTCGCTTTATTATAGAGGCTCCCCTTGTTGTTTGGGGGGAGGGGGGGGCCCACATTTCTCAGGCTGCAACATTACCTCAAATGGCAAATGGAGCAATTGATATGCAGGGGCCCTTAAGTGGAAGTGGAGAGCTATTGAGCGCGTCCTGAGGCGCTCCAGAGGTATCGTAGGGTTCCCTCCGTGACCGCGGTCTCATCTCCGCATGCTGCACGGAAGTGCCTCGGCAATGCGGCTTTTGAATGCCTTTGACTCACCAAACTTCTGCACCTCCAAGGCCACAAAAGGAGTCAGCATGGCAAACGGATGCCTCAAGCCAGCTTGGATCAAGATCCAACAGAATGAGATCTCGAGGTCTCGCTCCGAGTTTCTGGCTCCCATGCTGGGGACGTCGCAAAACGCTTGCAGCTGCTCTGGTTCAAACTTTAAGCGCCGATTGCATGTTCAGATATGTTTTTGGGGTGGGCTTTGTCAGAATGGACCCAATTCGCCTGCTGTGTGTGTGTCTGTGTGCGTGTGCAAATTGCGGGTCCAACGTGTTATCTACAAGTTTGCAGGGTGTGCGCATTCCTACCATTGAGGCTAACAGCTCCGTAAGACAGCGAATTGCGTCTCTTGCCCAACTCAAGTCTGCACCACATCCCCAACACCCTGCGCGAGACTCCATTGCGTTTTGCGAATCCTGCATACATCTCTTAAAGCTTGAAAGCTGCTGGGCCTCAGATCTCCCTCCTTCACTTTGGTATGGAAAGGAGATTGGCAGAACCCAGTTTTAGATAATTGTCGCTGCTCTGCGACTGCAATGAGTAACTTTGCTCATTATGTGAAGCACGGGAACAGGATGCTCCCTTGTAAATTAGGCTTCAGCAAGGCATATCGTCTGCCGACGAAAGCTTTTAAGATTGAATTTCATCCATGGCAGCCTCAGACTTTGGCTTGCCTCACAGATACACAGATACATGCAACATCATGCAACTGAGACCACTTGGGGACGTAGTGGTAGTTATCAAGCTGGCACTGTCTCAGCTCCTCGCCGTCTTCGCGTTGGCCGACAAACGCCTTGCATTGGCCGGGCTCGAATCAACCCTTCTTAAAATGTGGCACCCCTTCTGTCCTCCAGCTCCAGGACACCTGCAAGTCAACTCAATCGAATGGTCATTCACAATTGGCCGATTACCTGAGGCTGTGGCGTGCCCTCTCCTCCCGCTCTGTTTCCTCTAGCTCAGCAATGCGCGCCGCATCCTGGGCCACGACAGAAGGCAACCGTAGGCTCACCGGGGTGGAAAGAGAGCTGGGAAGCTGGCCCAAGCCAGCTGCGCACGTGTTCTTTCTGCCTCGGCCTTTGGCACCAGAAATGGGAAGAAGCATGCAACAGCATTGCCCTGAGCCCGTAAAAGCTCATGAGCACCCAGCCAAGGCCAGCTCCGCCTCAGCTAAGTCAGCGGATATGGGCTAACTTTCTAGGCCCTATCTCAGGGCAGCTTTTCTTCCTTAAATTGCTGGCTGCACCTCCTGTTCATCAAGCTTCCGCTGCTCCTCTGAGATAGCATTGGCCTGAGAGGTGGCAGCAGTGACACGAATTTCAACGGCCACGCTCCCATCGAGGTACCGGCAACGAGCGACGCCTGCAAAGCTTCAAATGCCAGACCGGCACTCCATCAAGCTTACGCAACAACTTGAGAGCCAACCCATGGCCGAAAAAGCTGGCAGAAGGATGAATGCTGGTTCATAGAAGATGGCAGATATAAAAAATGCAAGAATAAACCTGGATGGGGATTCAAGACCTGACACCATGACACTAGGCTCACTAGGCAGGTCGCGACGATGACTGGGTCGACTACGACAATGATAACAACAAATGAAAAGATGTTGAGACGCTTGATTCTCAACTAATTTCAGCCACAACATTTCAAAGACACTGGAAGTTGCGATGTCAATGATAGCCGTAAGCATGATGATACGTAGGATGAACAGCAGGACAGAAATGCAAATGGTGCCATGATGCAGGTGTTGATGAGAACAAGGACGACGAGGCGCTGATGCTGATGGCGGCGCTGGTGACCATGACAATGACTCTGAGAGTAACGTGAGAAAGAAGCATTGAAGGGGAATATGATGTTATCCGCGGGTATGTCAGGACCACGGCCACATCCACTCCGCTACCACTCCTTTCCTGGACGCGTCGCAACGCTAGCTTCCCTCATCTCACGATCATGGATGCCGCGCAGGCCTCCGATGGAATGAGGCAAAGGCCCACGATGATCGCCACGGTGATGACCTCGTCTTCCAGCATGATATGCTAAAGGAAGAACCACTTTTGGAAACTGAGGCTCCGTCAAGGCGACCGCCTGCCCTGTGCTCAATAGAAGTATGCGTATGCCCATGACGAAGTGCTCCGAACTGAGCCGCCAACGTCATGGGTTCAATGTCTCCAAAACCGACGGTTGAGAGCGCGATGACACTGAAGTAAAAAGATGAGAAGATGTCGGCAAACCTTCTGCATGGAGATCCCCGCAAAGCTTTTTCCAGCAGCGCAGAGTCTCAACTACACACGAGATGCCCGCTGTGGGTTCACCATGTGCTCGGCCTCGTAACACAGCCTGTCACATCCCAACAGCTAAGGCTCTCGATTCCATGGGTTTCTAGTCATGCCACCCTGCTGTGATGAAGATCAGCGTGAACACCACACCGAAAGTGCGGAAGATCTGCATACAGAAGACAGCAGCACTCAGGGCTTTATGACAGAAGAAACATGGCCTGCAACTGGTAAGGCTTTACACCGCGGAGAGCATCTTCGTATGGCTCTGCCTAGTTCAGGCATGATGCTCGTTGGCAAGGCCGCTGAACCAGTCCAGCCTGGTCCGGGCCGACCAGGATCCGCAGAAAGCTGTTGAAGGCCTTCAGGCACAGGGTACATGCATCCGGAACACGGGCTTCTTCAAGCAAGGCATGCCTTCGGCCGAAAGAAGCCTTGGCAGCTTCATCCCAGCAAGTGTCAAAGTGCAAACTACTTCTTTGCTCGGAGGACCTCAACCCGACTATGCAGGTTGGCACAGAAATCCTTGTGAACAAAGCAGGCAAAGCTCGGTAGATTCGGAGAACTCGTATGAGCTTCAAAAAGTTCAGCTCCATGGAATTGATCGATGGGACCTCAGCGTCAGTACCATTATCGCCAGTCGGCCATGGATGAATACGTTCTCGTTTTCTGTCAGGCTGCTGCAGTTGAGCTGAGGGTTCCGCCCAGGGCCGTGCCAAAAAGGGCAGAACACACAGGAGATCGATCAGCCTTGCACTCTCAAGCATCTCTATTGAACAGAAATCCTAGCTTGTTTTTCGCAGGCAAGCGGCATGTATGGGTTGAAGAGGTACTGCCAGCGCAGGCCGCGACTGTACCAATCTGGGCAGGAGACTCTGAGACCATGAATGAAAGGCATCTGGGCAAAGCTGAGGCAGAGTCGAGCCAGGAAGTCCAGAAAGAAAAGGGCGTTAATCGAAGAGGCAGCCCTGGTGCAAACAGCTTGCGACACACGTCCAGCTGTCATCTGACTTCATGTGGTTGCTCACCAAGCACTGTGGGCAGCACGCTGCGAGAACTCGGATGGTGCCCTCCGAGACTCCAGGCCTTGGATTGCTGACCACAGCTTCCTGGCTTGGTGTGTTTACTGGAGAGCCATTAATTGAAACAGCCTGAGGCCACGGCGACCGGGTAAAAACATAAATTGAACAGGCCAAACCTTATCAGCTGGAGGTACTTCAAAAGTGCGGAGGATGAGAGAGAATCTTGGTGTCTCAAGGACGCCGCCCGTAAGCAACGCATTGGAGATCTCCGATAGCGGCGCATGCTGGAGGCGATCTATCTCAGCCTTTGCACTCAGCATCTGAGCTGGAACATGGAGGAGGCTCCAGCATGTCCAAGCTGCAGACCGCATAGGGCAACAAACGAAAATTCTCCGCGTCAGCTAGCCTGTTGATCACGTTTTGAGTTCAGCACGGTGGAAAAGGCAATGACGTTTTCCGCCTCATGTATTCCTCGCTCCAGGCATCCTCAATTTCAACCTGCAGCTCGCACAAAGCTTGCTTAGGGAAGGCATGGCCCACTCCAGGCCTCATCCCTGGATGACGCGGTGACAGCTGCATCTAGAGTTGGTGCAGCAGGCAGCGCTGCCTGTTCACCATCGATCAAGAAGCCCACGCACGTGGATGCCAAAGCATCTGTCAGCGACCCATCACGGCCCAGTGTCGAACTCTCCAGGCAGGAAATCCCAACGCCGACATCTGCAAGCTCCTTGCTGAGTCCATCGGCTAAAGAGCGGACAAAGGCCATGGAACCAGCGAAGGCACAGGCTCCAGCAATCCCGGGTGTAGCGCCTGCTGGTGCCCCTACCAAAAGGATGCGACCACGCTTCGCCTGGACCATATCATTCGCGAACAGCCGGCACAGGGCAGCAGTTGCGCCAACATTCTGAGCCAACATCCTGTCCAACTTTTCCACGCTCTGGCTGAGAAATGAGCCAGTGTAGGAATATCGATCGGAGCAGACCATCAGCATGCAAACGTCCAAGTCCTTGATCTTGTCGTAGAGATATGCCGCGCCTTCGGAAGGATCCGCGAGACTACTTGGCACCTTCAGGATGCGGTCCGAAGAAACTGTGCCGTTTCCTGCGATCTTCGCAGGATCCAGGCTGTGCAGGGCCGACTCCTCATCCGTCAATATGAGGCCGAAGCCCGCCTCTCAGGGATTAGTCACCAGCCAAGTCTTCCTTCAAGTCTTTCAGGTCAGGGGTTCTTCGAGTCTGCCAGAGGGGTCCGCATGGAGGACTGCTTGGAAGCAACGGATTGGGGAACACGGGACACAAAAACTTTGCAAACTCCTAGATTCGTGCAGTATCAACTAAAGCCAATTGAAGCTGGTATCAGCCTCTGACCGGTCCCTTATTCAGGAGCTTTCAGTGAATCTTGGCGTTCCAAGACGTTCTAGCCTTCTCATGCTAAAATGCACCTAGCCTTTTCAAAAAGCCGTTCTACGCCTATCTGCCCAATTGCCAGGTTGCACTCATCCCTTGATGCATTGGAGCCCTAATGCACTGCCTCGCATTTCACATGCTTGCGTCTAGTCGCCGACCCTGGGCCTCAACAAAGAGCCATCCAACAGACTAGATGAGGTTGCCATGAAAGTCCTAAGCTGTCGAAAAACTCCCAGAACCTCTTTGAAGCTGCGTGAGCAATTCCAGCCACCTCTGCGCAGGCCGCCGCCAGTTTTTGGCCCAGCCCTGTTGCAGCACCGGTGACAAGAGCCCAGGAGTCAGCAGGCGTCGGCAGTGGAGACAGATTGGGGCTCGAGTGAGCGTGCCGGGCTTGCTTTGCGCTGGAACGGTAGGCACAACGGCAGTGAACCGTGATCCCAAGCGCTACACCGGTTGAAGCGCGGAGCCGATTTGTAGCGCTGCACTGGCTAGGCTGACTGGGTCGCGAAGGTGAGGAAGTTGTGATGGGCGCCCAGCCCGGCCTTAGACGCTGAAAGCTGAAGCGGATTTCGTGTAGGGTAAAGAGGCTAGCATTTTATGTGCACAAGATCACATTCCCATGCAGCGTCAGCTGGGGCAGCCGCACAAAGGCTCGGGTGGTTGGCTGTGCCCACATGTGTCTCGTGTTGGGTTCACTGCTTGGACATGGCTCAGTGAATGGACCCCTAGCTTCTCCCTCAGGCCACGAGCCAAACAGGCATATTGCACAAGCGAATTGTAGGCGTGATGCTGTTGCTTTCCATTCGATGTACTGCAAACGTGAACATGTAGCTGGCTGAATTGGATGTGTCAAGTAACTTGCACCCATCCAAAGGCTTAACCGATCACACGATGCTGAGATACACAAAAGTCACTCTGCTTCGCACGCGCCAACTTATTTACCGTCAAGGCAATTGGAGCTCACCTGGCACCGTCTGAAGTTCTGAAATTTGTAGCAGCCCAGTTGAAGGACTCAGAACACCGATGCTGTGCACGTCTTTGATTGGGCCTTTGCCGGCAAGTCGACGTCCCGCGTGCCATGGAGTCTCAAAGCTCATCATGAGCTTCCATCATGAGCTTCCATAGTCCGCGCTCTTCTTGTTACACGACATTGCCTGTCCGAAGCGTACCCGATGCGACGCGGCAGGTATGTCATGCAAGCCAGCCGGATTGCCATCTCGGATTTAACTTAAGTCCATGAAAAGTGGTGAGTTGCACCACTGCGTGCAGTCATTCAACATCGGAGAAACTGCCTGCAGATCCCTTTTGAGGCTCGCTTGGAAAGGCTTCTCTTCTTCATCTCGCCTCACTGCGTCCAGGCATGTGGCTTCCAGCTGCTATAGGTTACCTTCAAGGCTGGCACCCCCCAACTCTGGAACGAAGACGGTACGGATGGATTTGGCTGATCAATCCTGTGCACATCGCATCCTCTCGCTGGTGTAATGCAGACCAAATTCCAGGCGTTCTCAGGAACAGGAAGCTCTCGCGGCCCCTCCTGCATGAGGAACCGAACCCCATTCCTGTTTGCGTTCGATGCCAGACAGAACACATGCCACGTATCGAGCCACAGAGCCTTGCGAGCCCAGCAAATTGAGAGGTAAACAACAGCGTGGTCAGCTGTCAAGTTTCTCTGCATACCTCGGCAGCTAGCTGCAGCAGTGAGGGACTGGCACCGCTGACACAATCCTAGCTACACAGACTCTGCCGTTAAACACATCTGCTGGCCAGCGTGGACTCCGAACCAAAGCAAGGCACATCCGGAGCAGTCGATCCAGGTAGTGGATGTAATCGTCACCTTGCGTCAGCTAAGAATTCAAGTCAAGATGATACCTGTCGTGAGGGCACACCCAAGGCTAAAATCCATTCTGCCAGCAGAAGGTTCGGCCTGGGTTTGCACACAGACTGCTAATGCATCCGAGGAACACGTCAGATGGCCTGGGCAAGGGCAAGGCAGATCTGGTGCATTGAAAGCAAACCTTGACAAGGCAGGTCTTCAATTGTACACTGTAACGCTGTACACCTACAAGCCGTAGGATGACAGAAAGCTAACTGGTCGGCGAGTGATCCAGGTTTGGAGGGTGGAAGCCAGATTTGCCTGCCCGACGGGCCCTCCCAAGTGTCGTCTGGCACGGAGCGGTTTTCACGCATGCTTTTGCAGCTTCCGCGCACCCCGCAACAAGCTTTCTGGATCCCAAGCGGCTCACAAGACAGTACGAGTAGCAGGACTAGAGATTGTAGACGAAGTTGCTTGAGCATGGCTGGGTTGCACGCATGTTTTAATAGCTTCTCCCCGCCCTGTGAGAAGTGTTGCTTAATATCCTCAAGTCTCTTGGACACGCTCCGGGGGCTTTTGCGCTGGCATTCTCAAACATCAGCCTTTGTGATCCTTTGTGCATGTTCCAAGACAAGAAACACACCTGTGGATGTTCTGCTGCAAAACGAGACTGCATGGACCGCACTCATGATTGCATCTCTCTGCACCGCTTTCCATGCGGAGACCTCGTTCAAATGCATCGCTGCCAAGCTTCTTTTGAATGGCGAATTATTGACTAATTGAAATGTTTCTCTATTCTGGTCCATGAGGGCATCCGCATCTTCCCCTTCAGGTTGCAAAGCTTCTCACAGACAGCTGGTGAAAACTGTGGGCCTGGCGGTGGGCAAAAGCCAAACCATTCTGCGCAATGACTTTGGCTTCCGCATCATGCGATATGAGCCACAGAAGCCTGTCCACCAAGTCGCTGAGATCGTACCTGGATCAGGAGCTTTGTGGTATGTCATTGATTCCAGCAATCCAACTGCTATACAAAAAAACAAGCTGACATCAGAAGGGTCACGACACGGGGACAAAGTGGACCCAGGGCTGCAGCATGTTCAGAGGCGACATCACTTGCCAAGGCTGGTCTGGAATAAGCACTACAGAGCCCAAGAAGAGCTGCCAGGAAAGTCTGTCTGCAGCACTGTTGCCCTCCATGGCGATCTGATATTTGTACTGTCCAAAGGCCAAGGGTTCCATCCGGGGCGCAAATAGCTTCTCATCTTGGAGGAACATCTCGAGGCTCGCTTCCATCGGCGGCAGAAGCGACGATGCTACAAACCTGGCGTCAATGAATGGAACGAAGCGGCTCAGCCAAACCAAACGCCCGCGCGGCAGCTGGAGCCAGGTTGTGAAGTTCCACACTGGCCATCTGACCTGTCCCGGCGGTAAGCGAACACATTCCTCCATCGCAGCTCCGTCTTTTGCAGCACGCGCTGCTTTGCAATCTTTGGCCCACAGGTTGGAGTACGTGCCCCTCCAAATCAATACAGCTTCCCTGTCTTCCCATTTGAACTTTTCCGTAGCGAACATGCCCTCGTTCAACGTTCGCTGGCACTGCGCTGGGTGCAGCTGCCACTCGGCAGGCAGGGCCACAGTGGCGGTCCAGCGCGTCCCGACTCGTGTGAAGACTGGCGCCTCAGGAAACGGATTTTCCACGGTCTCGTCAGCGGCACTCAAGATAAAATCTAGAGCTGGCAGGGGGTTCGTAGACTGTATGACCTTCAAGGCCAAGAGGACTGCACGCAGGTAGGAGCAGTCGAACTCGTGGCAGGCATGGCTCTCGGAGCATGATGTCACTGTCCCATTCTCATGGACTGATAAAAGACAACCTCTGGCTGCATGTCCCTTGCCCAAATCCCAGAGGAGTTTTGGCCCATCTTTCCGTATGCTGTCACTTTGCGGTCTCAAAGCCTGCAGGTCCGAGCTGATGCTTTCTCTCAGAAAAGCGTCCATTGGAAGAAGAGTCTTTCGCGAGTAGACAGGGAAGCAACACTCAGCAAACTCTGTCCAAATCTGGTTTTCCTGTGGGCGAAGAGCCTGGTCGCGACAGTGACTTTCTGCTGGCTCACAGCACTCGCAATTGTCGCTCCAGATGAGGGGGGAATCTGGCACACTACAAGCCCACGCCCACACTGCCAGGGGTTGGGCAAGCAAGGCTTCATACGCGTAAGAGTGCCGCATCAGAGATGCAGCTTCCTCTTGCAGCCCGGTTGCTTGAACTTCTGCAAGGAGACCTCTTATTCTGCCCAGTTTGATCTCCACTCGCCCTTCAATTGCATTGAAGCACTTCCTGTGCCGCTCTGTGAGCGGATAGCAGCAAAGCTGCTCAGTCGCCCACGAGCCTATCCAGCAACCCGGATCTTCTTCCACACAGCAGCGGTGGAAGCTTCTGTCACCTCAGCAAGGCACTTGGGGCTGACGAACAAGAGACTTCTCACCGCCATGGCTAGTTCGAGCAAAGTGCTGTTGTACCAGCACAAGCCATTTCCCGGCTCGTCCATGCTGTCTTCTTGGCCGCTTACAGCGGCAATTCCCAACGTAAAGACACTCGCCAGCTGCATCCCATCGACACTCTTGTGGAAGGCTCAAGGCTCAAGGCCAGTGGCGGAAGTCCAGTTTCGAGGTTGGCAGACTTGTCAGTCATAATTACTATGTACTGAGTGCCATGTTGCTTGCAAATCGAAAAGCGGTACAGCTCTCAGTCGGCACTTGTGTGGCCTGCAACCGCATGTGATGCGTATGATGAGCACTACCTTGACAAACGGGTTTCAACGGTCAGGGGCCCAAAACAATGCCAAAACAAGCCAAGAATGTTGGGCCAACCAGCTGCTATCCAGCACAGCCATTTTCCTGATATGGACACGTGTTCGGAAACTGACACAAGCTCGCGCCTTCGAGCATCGCCCGAGATGTGCTTCCGAACATCTTCGCGTGCTTAAACAAATCTAAGGCAAGACACGTTGCAAGTCGCGTCCCCAAGACATCCGTGCTGCAGCATGCAGGAACAGAGTCCCAAGTCTCGGAGCTAGCACGCCAGCCTTGAAACTGAGACGGCAATGCAGTGCTTGCTCTGACGAACAGGAAGATAGCGAAGCATGCAACCTGACTATCCTTATAGCCATCGCCTCAGCAAGATGCAAGAGATGCGCTCACATTGATTGAGCCTGCCCTTCCCACACCATGCATTGCACTTGTGCTAAGTTGTGTAGCACAGAAGTGGCCGCGGAAGGCTGAAAGAGAGCTCCGACTGAAACTGAAAACAAACCACGCAAAAGTTCTCCATCTCTTAGTCCAGGCCTTAACTACGGTTGCTCACAGATGTCAACACTTCCAAATTTCAGCGCAGAGCATATGTACAAAGTTGTTCAGACATCTGCTCAAGACAGGATACCTCCAAAGCTGGGCTTGGCTGGTGAGTCCTGCAGGCTTGCGGCTTTTGGAAACAAGAGCTTGGTACAAGTAGCTGCCTTCTGGTCTGCGCAAGCCTCAAGCCCATCTAGGCTCTTGCAGATGCCGCATTCTAGGTCCGATGAGTTTTCTCGCAGAACGGAGGAAGGAGAACAAGATTGGACTTGAGAAGATAACATCATCGGCTCAAGGCCTGCAAACTGAAGGAGGAAATTTGTGTCTTCTGTTTGCAGGAAAATTGCAATGCATGTTCAGACACAACACGGCCGGCGTCTCTCTTTGAGGCCGACCATCTCGCAAAGGGCTGCGCGGCTTCTGGAGTAGCCATGGTATCGTTTGAATCATCGGTGCCTTCCTCCAGCAACCGTCTTGACTGCACAAAGCCCAAACTGTCTACAATCGACTACACGGCTGATTCGACTCAGAAGGATCCAGCGACATCGGACGCTCATTCCTGGCCGAAGTCTTTGCAATACGGCCAAACGATCAGATTTCTAGACCTCACCATGCTTGCAAGCCTGCACCGTCACAGTCTGCGGCACAGGCGGCATGGTTCCCTGCACAGGAGGTTTCAAGCCCAGTCTCTTCAACTTCCACAGCCGCCCACGGGGGGGAGAGAAGAGAAAGAGAGCCAAAGTGAGGCTTTCCGATAATATGCCAGGAGGGCATCAACAACTGATCATAGCGCTGGCCTGTCCCTCCTCACAGTCGTCACAGTTCTCTTCGCCACTCACATCCTCATCCACGATGGGCGCACTCTCCTGCTGCAGGAGGCGCAGACTCTGCTTAAAGGCACCAAAGGCAGATTGCAGCAAAGCACAGCGACCTCGGCCTCCTCGGACTCCGCGTCCGCCGCCTCTAGCTCTTCTGCAAGGGCCTCGGGCGACGATCGCGATCCCTTCTTTTGCCGGCTTACAGTCAGAAATCTGGAACGAAACTCAAAGTTCCCTGACAGCTGATCATGGGCCGTAGTTCTCAGCAACACTGAGGAGCCCGCAGCACGCTCTTGAGCTCCATGTTGATTCTCCTCCTGCTTAAAAAAGGGCTCTGGAATCAGCAAGAGACATGACCTTACGATGTCCTCCTCTGCTTCGTTGGTAGCCTCTTCCTCTTCCTGTCAAGAGAGCTCTGCCTTGCCTCTTGACATGCTCACGTACTTTTTGGCCGGTGCACGGAACGGGAAGCTGCTTGTCTGCCAGTGAGGAGGTCATGGATGATGGCCATGCGACGCCTTAGTTAAGGTAAGAGCGGCAAGTTTCAACCTCCCCACAGGCCGCACCTCCGCATCATGAGGTATGCACTCCAACCGCATATGTTTCTGGCGACTGCAGTTTCCTACTTCAGTTGAGCTGTGAACCCTAAGTTCAACAATTTCTCTGGTAGCGTCCATCTTGGAAACAGCATGCGAGGTGTGTTTTTGATAGTTGAACCAAGTAGGACCATGTTCTTTTCAGAAGGCAATACAAACCAAACGAGAAGGTGTTGCGTGGCATTTCACGTGCGCGAGCTGAGCGCCGAGCAGCTGTTGGCGCCGCTCCTCCTCTTCCGGTGACTCTCCTCTCAGAAATCTAGTTGGGTGAAATTCGGGAGGTGCATGAGATATCATGAGATGGTCCCTACATTTTTGGAAGTACTCAGGCGGCTGGCATGACCGCGCATGCAGAGTTTCCAGCAAAAACGCACCCGGAGATCAAATTCGGCTCAAAGCGTTAATGCAGTCGGCCCTGTCCTCCATACGACTCACTCATTTCCTTAGGGTTTGGCATCTTGCGCAAAGGCAGATCCCAGCAGGCATCACCTCATTCCAGCTTGCCAGCGCGAGCCAAGAGTCACTTTTGGGAGCAAAAACCAATCGAGGATAAACTGCGTGCCAAACCTGAGAGCTTCAAAGGCTCCAAGCAGGATGAAAGAACTGAGCAAGCCCACAAGAGCCTCGTCAGGGCTTTTGGAGACCACATCCTGGGTGTTAGCCTTGCACAATCCCCAGCTGCCTGCCAGCAAAGCATTGACGGCATATCTACAGCTGCAATGCTGCAACACCACCTCGCGCAATTTCGCCCATCAGCTGACATCGGCTCCTCGACCAGTGTGGCACACGAAAGCTGGTACGCAAATCATTGCTTGGTGCTGCTAGGCTTAGCCCACGCGCTCCAGCCAGCATAGCCCCAGTAGACGAAAACCCGCACAGACCTGATGCTGGAAACTGCCCTGAGAAACCAAAGCCCATTAACAAACATGAGCGCAGCACGGATCATGCGCAAGATTCGCGGTTGGGCTTCCATCAGCCGCCTGACAGACTTGGCAAGGTTAGAAATGTACAATGTACAAGAGATCGTCCGCCATACTTGCCCAGTACCTCAGGCTCAATTCGGCGACGCTTTGTGACTCCGGATGGCACCTCAAGCCAAGAGAAACCAGGCACACCTCAATCAAGGCCTGGTGCAAGGCCTGCCTCCTCTTTTCCATCATCTGTGTCAATTGTTGAAATTGAGGATACTCCAGCTCCGGCTGGGTCGATTGCCTTTGGGGTCGGTCATGAGTCATAACTTAGAGTACAAGAAGCGGTCCCACAACTGAGAGCCAAGCAGACAGCCGCAGCGCTGCGGCTGCACCTTCTGCGGCCGCTCCGGGCGCAGACGATGCCAGTTCCTTCGGATGTCCAAATACGATCTTTGATCCTGGCTTCAGCAATGGCATTGACTAGCTCCTCGGCCACTGACAACCCAGCTAGCAGGCAGGCGTCATCCTGGCAGACGGCATTTGTTTCAAGAGGAGGCCAGGAATCCTAATGTACGGAAATCTGAAATTGGTCCGTCCTGCACGATGCTGTAACCAGATGAAGAAGCAACAACGCAGCAAGCGACCTGCAAAATCAAACGAACGAATAGCCACGTAGACCGGGCAGGCTCCAACTCAAGCCACTCATATGATGGCTGGGTTCTCAAGCATTCCTTCTCGGTGTTTGTTGGAATGCCAGCAATGCCAGCCACTGCTTGCACATAGACTGGTGGCAAAACGACCAACTTTGTGTTTTTTGTCGTCAGACATCTGCATGATGCCAGATGGACCGAAAGATCTCCTCTTGACTGGGAGAATCGACAACTGCATGCTGTTGATCCTGTGTTCCTGTTCTCGACCCTCATGTTACTTCTGGCTTTGGAGGCAGCATGTGAACGATCTTGGCAAGGAGCATCCGAACGACGCAGTGCTGCTATGCCTCTATGTGCCCAGTCCAGTATGTGAATTCTTTTATGATATGGGCGTCCCTCTTTGCAGTGCATTTGCTTCACCTGCCTTCTCCTCTTCGCAAGGCCCACCAATGAAGTGAGTCACCTCACATGGCCGTTCCAAATCCTTGTTAAGGAGTAGCTAAGCAACCATAGCCTGCGCTCGAAGATCCATCTGACCACGATCACTGAGCACCCTGGCACTTGCACCGCTGGCTGGGCATGATCCTAAGTCCTGCAAAGTCAGACGCAGTCCAGGCCTTGACACCGCAGCTTGGAAGGCAGCACGCTGCCTCGCCCGCAGCCTGGCAGGCAGCACAGTCAGCCGACTTCAGAGGCTTCCTGGAGTTGCCCGAGTTGCCAGCACTGTTCGCCCAGAGCTAGCAAGATCGAAGGGGCGAGCCCTGGTGGCCGATCAGTGCGTGGTCAGTACTCTTTCAACCGCTGCCTGGGACAGTGGCAGGTTCACCGCCACGATGCCATCTTCGCCTATAAGCTTTAAGTAAAACCTCTGCTGTTGGCAGTTGGCACACTGATGCACACTGACGTCTTGGGTCCGCGGCCACAATCAACAGGGTCCGGTCGGAGTCGGATGGAAGCTGGCGTTCGAACCTACAGATAGGCGGTAGAAGCCCCACTTGAAGAGTGCAGATCTGAGCTCCAAGCGGAGCGCATGAGCTCGCGCCGAGCCTTCTGCCAATGCCGCATCAAAAGTAGCTGAGAGCAGCTTAGCAGCTTGTCTTTGCCCCCTTTAAATTAACAATTTATGCGAGAGCAGACGTGGTGCGCGGCCTGTGGAGAATCTTGTTCTGTGAGATTCTTCAGGGGTCCTTGCCTAAGCTGAAAAAGCATTTCTGCGCGCATTGCATCGCACATCGCCAGTTTCAGGGCGCCCGCGGAAGAACTTGGTATCGTCGTCCTCTCAGGTGAAATGTCCTGCATGACGGAAAGTATTTGACCGTCTCGGCCTAGCAGCATTGCCTGCTGCGTGTCGTGAAGTCACGCATGCACTTACGTCTTGCCCTGCCAAGTGGGCAGCGCTCATGAGGCAAATGCGGACATTGCTTTTTCAGCGAAGTCCAGCAGCTCGGAGACACTCCCGATGTTTGGAGGCGTCTCGCAGGGCCAGCAAATTACTGTAGCCCTTGGCTGGAAATGTGGAATATGCACACGAGTCGAGCCCTCAGAAATCTCCAGGTTTACCTCATCTTCTTCTGCAACGCGTTGAGCATTGCATCACAATGTGGTGCACCGCGCTTGCGACTCCAATGCTTGCGCAAGGCCATGAAAAGCTGCAGCAGGAAAGTGTTGATGCGTGAGCTGAGTGGAATAAAGGGGTCTGGAAACTTGTAAGCGGCCACAGCCACGAGACCATCCAAGAATTCCGAGAATGACATTTCATCGTCATCATCCAAGCCTGCCCCATCTTCATTCTCTCCACCATTGTCCTCCTCATCCGCTGTGGCATCTTGCTGAATGCCTTGAAAGATCTGCTGCACTGCAACCTCTGTCAAAGCCTCATCCAGAAAGCCAGTGTCATCAAGCAGCATCTGGAACTCAGTAATGTTCATCGTGCTTGCCCGCTGCATGGCATCAGTTGTCGACATATCCAGCGTCGCATAGAGCTGGAAGACATCCTTCAGTTCGCGAGAATGTTGATCGAGAACGTGACGGACCTCTGGACTGTAGGCCATTTTCTGGAACATGCTCTCAGCATCATTGCAGGCATTTGGCCTCAGGTGGAGGTCAATCAGAAGTAGCATCTGTTCTGCCAAGTTATCTGGAGAGCTGCAGGCGGTACGAAACTTCTTGTTCGCGCATTGGACGAGTACCTCAACGAACTCATGGGAGGCCAGCAGACGGTCCTCGCCTGTTTTGTTCTTGTCTTCCAGGTGGTCGTTGAAGATCACCTCCAGGTGGTGGGGCGCGAGCTCCTTGGACCGGAGTTTGCACTCCTGAAAGAGCTTCAAGAGCCCCTCCAAGGCAACCCCATGGCCACCCGAAGGGCTTGAGCTGCTGTAGTGCTTGTAGATGTCCCGCAGCAGACGAAAATGCCGCCGGAGTTGGTCCTCGAGCTTGGCGATGACAGCAGCTTCGAGCTTCTCGGACTCCTTGCCCGCCTCCTTGGCGAGGGTCTGTGAGAGTCGATCAGCATTCACAGCTGTGTAGAGGTGGAACTCACGTAATTCCTTGGCATCCAACATGGTTTTGGGTTGGCCCCTGGCCCGATGGGACAGTGTTTCACCCAAGAAACCATGCACACGCTCCATGATACCAGACATTGTCTTCGAGGCCTCCTGCACAGCTTGCGCCGCAAGCCGGAACTCAGTCCAGCAACCGTCTAGCTCCAAACAAAACTTCATGGTTTCGGTCGGATTGTCCAGAGACAAAGCTGCAAAGCCTTCGCCACAGACCTGTTCCAAAAGCTGCAAATGCATCGCCAGAAGCGAGTCTGGCTGTGCCGACAGGTTTGGACGTACCAGCAGCAAGGCTGCCAAGAAGCAGGCCAACATGTCCGATTGCCCCTCAACAACTGCGTTGACTGTCAGAAGCTCGTAGTCACTGCACCGTGCAGCTGCTGCGATGATCTGGTCCAAGCGCTCTTCCCGGCTCTCAGAGAATAGCACAGGGCAAGCCTCAGCATCTGAACCAGACTAGGGGCTTAGTTCAATCTGCACCTGGTACTTAGGCTACCACCTCTGGTGCTATGATGGTGAGAAGCTTGGACAGCGCAACGCCGTCCTGGACAGGAAACGGTTGAGTGCCTGGCGATGCCTGGGCAGGAGTGCAGGCGCTTGGGGCCTGCAGATCGGAGCCGAAGTTTTCAACGGGCCTGCCCAGGGTGACAGATGTGCAAACCTACGAATAAATGCATAAGACAGCGGCCGACCTGTGTTGAGGGTTATCCATGCTCAGCTGCGCATTGATCCACCTGCAGCTTGCATGTTTGTGATGACCAAGCAAGCCTTGCCGCACGGTGCTTGGTTGCCCTCAGCGTCCGCGTGCCCACGACACTTGGGCTCCTGCCGCAGCAGGATCTGCTCCACCGAGATCGTCGCCAGGGCCTCCAAGAGAGCACAAGCCATCCTTTGGGCCACGTAGGTTGCAAAGAGAAACGGCCGTCCTGGGGCTCTTCGCCACCGTGGAGCAGTGGAGTGGGATCCTGCGGCTCGACTATCACAGCAGCAATGGCAGCACCATGACATGCACTTTCTCCTCAAGTGGCTCGTGGCCTGCGCGGCCAGCAAAGGCCTGCAGACCCGCCATGATGTCACAACCGTGGCGCATCCTGAGCTTCTCTTCCAGCCTCCATGTAGTCCAGAACCTTGCAGAGCCTGTCGTAAAGCGCCTGCTGTGTCTCCAACGCGTCGACAAGCAGTTTAAGACCTTGAGAAACAATTTCATCCGTGCACGTCCGCCTCAGCCGCAGCACCGGAGGCACGGGCATCCTGCATCAGGTGACCCATCCCTGACATGATCAGATGTCCAAAATAAGACCTGTCCTGGATCATTGGATACTCCACAAACACTGCAGCAAGGAAGGTCTGCAGCTTGTCCGAGGAACCTGCCCCAGTCATGCTTCTGGGCGGCTTGGCTTCCAAAGACACTACGGAAATCTACGGAAAGGCAGCCAGGCCTTGCATAATCTCGTGGGGAACCAACAAGCACTTTGCCCTGCAAGCCGTGGTGAGAAGGCTCCATTTGCACTTTGCCGAGACTGTTCATGGGACACAGCCTCTCGGTAGGAGCCAGCTCCAAGAAGCAGTGACACAGCTGGATAGTTCGCAGTTCTTTGTCTGGCTCAGACAGCGCGATCAAGTCCTTTGCAGAACTCATCACGTATCTTCATCTATCTACATGTACGGAGCCGTGTATGTGTATGCTTCACCCGGCCTTTTCAGAGAACCTCTTTTGGTCGCGCTCTGCCTGTATCTTTGGGCGCCCAACAAAGATCATCAAGATGCTACTGTACTAGCTGGTCACACTCTTTTTGGGACGTGGCAGGCTGCCTTCAACATGGCATAAAGGGCCGTGAGCGCAACGCCATCCGATAAGTCATACTCCAGATTGTCAATGTCCTGCCCAGCAGCAACTCTCAGCTTGAGACCGGCATGTGCCCGTTACAACCTCTTCACATCTCTGAAGTACAAGCCTGTTTAAGGCCTAGAACGGCCTTGCATTGTGGGTGCGAGGCGTTTTCTGAATGTTTGCACCTTTCAAATCGCAGATTGCCTTGCTTTCGTTTTGGAGCTTCTGTACACTTTGCGCTGCTTGCTCGTCACGAGGAAGGCCGAATGGCTTTTGGAAAAGGTCCTCCTGCTGCGAAATCATGATAACTGCATCCTGGTTCTCCACCTCAGACATATTCTCTTGAGCGACACCACGAGCTACCCATCAAGCTTCGAATGCTGAGTGCGCTCATCTCAGCACGGCACGAGTAGCAGATCTTCCAACCATTCTTCGCAGTGGCGGCGTGCCTTGGCCAGGATTCTCAACTGTCCGCGTGTTGATTCCATGACATAGCTGTTACAGCAATCCTTGCGCGCCTTCTGCAAAGTCAGGTTGATCCACCTCGTGCGGCATGAGATGGCAGTTCAGTAGCCAAAATTATTGACTTTCAATGGCTGGGGAACCCATACAACTTTGTTGCGGCTTCTTGTCTTGCGACTTACGAATTCAGTTTTTTTCGCGAATGCCTGGCGGGGGTATGCCCCACAAAAACTGTTCGGTAAGGTGCTTGCTGCCAGCCAGGCAATTCTGTTACAAGCCTATGTTGCAGAATGGCCATCCAAGCATATTAATTACCGTACAAACCCAGCGTTGTTGATTCACAGCCTCTTGTGTGCCAGACCGCCTGATGAGGATGGCTTCAGTGTCGGGGACACTGGCATCATCGTCCTCGAGAAGGGGCCGGATGTCCTTTCCAGCCAGCCGGTGACGCACCTCGGCTCCGCGAGTTTGGGAGTCGCTACTGCTTTCTGTTGACGTGCCGCGATGCCGCGCCTCCAAGTGCTTTAGGCCTGCCTGACGCACGACCAATCCAAAGAACACCTCCAGGGTCTGCGCCAAGACCTTCAGCAGCCTGCAGGCCCGTAGGCGGGCAACTGAGATTTGGTGTTGGTCGTTCTGAGGACATCAGAATCAAAAGCATTAGGAGGATGGCCGGGTGGCAGTTCTGGCTGGGTGTCTGCCCAGACCTGCTTGAGCCGGGAGAGCTCCTGCTGCTCCACCATGCACTTCTCCTTCAGCTCGGCACCTGCCGCCAAGGACTCCTCAAGCAGCCGTTGCTGCTCTTGGTTCTCCACCTCAACCTCCGTGATCTTGTTGGCCAGCTGCGAGGCCTCCTTGTCGACTTCCGCGCACTTGGCGCGTGCCCGCACCAAGCGCTGCTGAGATACATAGAGCCGCCAGCTCAGAAGCGGTGTGACGAGGTCATCTGGAACTGCAAGCACAGAGGTAGACATCTTCTCCATGCGGGCCTTCCTTTCTCGGTATGTGAAGACCCAGAAATTGAAGAGCCACTGCTGAAGGATCAGACGCTCTTGGCCCTGCAGTCGCACAATGAAATCAAGCACACTCTTCCGTCTAGCCAAGTGGAGGTCCACCACCTGGTCAGCAGCAACAGAGCAAAGAGTCGAAGATGAAGATGCATTAAATGATGCAATGCAAGCTTTGTAGATGCTGTACTACACGCCTCCTGCATCTCAGCAACGTGCTGCTCCATTCGCTCCAGTGTGACTTGCTGGCGCCGGACGACGGCAAACCAGGGCTGCCGCTCGCTGAGGTCTTCGCGGCCTGGCCGGCAACCACCGGGGCCCCCTCCGAGCACCTCTGCCAGTTGGGTTCGCTCTGCGATGCTTGTCGGTTCGTCGCTGTAAATAGACGTTTCCACTTGCCGCAAGATGCTGCTTGCCACTTTCTGGATGGGACCTGGCAGTGTGTCCACCACGTCCTTACCAGCACGGGAGGTGTGACATGGTCCAGTGGCTGTCTGCAAGAGTCTGCGTTCTACGACAAAAGCTGAAAGCTGAGTGATTCCGCAACTGCCTGGACCATGCATTCTGCAGCATGGCAACTGTGCTGCCGAGGTACTCGGAGCAAGTCTGCCGCTACCGCAGTGACCACGGCATTTGGCAGGGTGAGCCGATCGGAAAGGCGCTCGATCTTTCGAAAGCGCGCCTGCTCTGCAACTTTTCCTCAAACCTCAACAAAATCCCAAGTCAATTCCAGCCTCGCAAGCCAGAAGCTTGGACTCGAAGCCCTGCTGCTCCTACTGCTGCACTCCACTGCCCTGGCACAGGACTTCCGCTAGCTTTACCCTCAGTCCTCCGGTAGCCCTGAATGTGTCTTGTGCCAGTCCTGGCAGATTCGTACAAGAAAGAAACGTTTGTATCGAACGAAAGGAGAGCCTCCAAGGCCAGGAGCGAGACGGGATCGCCCAGGGCTGCCCGCAGAGCTGGAGGCAAGGCCTATGGCTGCATGTCAGGCGCTTTCCTTAAGGATTAAAAACTCACAAAGTCTGGGTTTCAGGCTGGATAACCTGCCTCCAACACTCCTCCAGAGTCTGAGTCCATGACTGGGGCCTCAGCTTCGGCTGTCTCTTTGCTTGGCCAAAATGAACGGAGCCAAGGCTCTCACAGCCTCTCGAGCAACGTGCCTTGAGGGCTCCCGAAGCTCTCGCCCACTCCTGCGAGCCTGGCACAGCACTTTGCTTTGCCACCGCGCAGCTGGAGATGCAGGACATGCAGAACGCCTCTCTCGCTGAGAGGGGCGCATCCAGAGAAGGCAACTTGGGTCGCTGGCGGGCCCTCAATCAGCGTAAAAGCGGTACGCAGACAGATGACACTCCCAGTTCTATTGTGGAATCCGCCTGGCTGTTGTCGAAAAGGATTGAAGTGGCATGGTGCCAAGCTCCAGCCATGGAATTCTCTGGACAGTCACGCATCAAAACACGCTCTGGTTGAGTATGCTGCATACATGCAGTGTGAGCTGCATGCTTGACTTGGGCGGTTGTGGCACATGTTGACAAACGACACTCGAAGCAGCTCAAATGACAACGACCCTTCTTGAGACTTTGCTACTTCTGAAGCTGTAACGATTGGATCTCCATTCGAGAGGCAGCTGCAAGTCAAAAACAATGCGTTTCCACTCCAAACACAGCTGCTGGGGTAGTGGGTCATCCCCGGTCCTGGCGTCTGCCTCGAGCTGCTGCATGAACATGGCAAGCTCCTGTGAGTAGTTTGGCATGGTTTGCTCGCTTTCAAGCTCAAGGACGTGTACTAGGTCTGCAGTCCAGTCGTCCCCCAGCTCAAATTCATTTCTGGCATTTCTGGATACAGTCATCAAGTTTCCAGCCAGCACAAGCTCCGACAGCTTGCCCTTCTAAGCAAATCCAAGCAAACCCGCCCACAACAGCAAAAAACTCTTTTAGGCAACCTAACCACTCTGCTCAGAGCGCGCTCACAAGGATCCTCTTCGTCACTGACCTTCAGCATGACTACCCCGCGGTGCCGATCCTCAACAACCTCAGCAGTTTCAGGCGGAATGCGATGGGATTCGGAAATTCGGAAAGCTGCATCTTCTCAGGTCATCTTGGCAGGGCACTTTCACAATCAGGAACAGTCCCCTGTCAAGGCCAGTGTGCCGGCAGGCGAAAAGATCATAGCCGCATGCATAACACATCCGTCCTGTGCTTACCCCCCTGACTGCACCAGCCTGATCCAGTTGAGGCACACGATGCCCTCGCGCATGATGCCCGGAAAGCTGGCCACCTGCAGCAAGAGTCCTGAAAACCTATCACAATGCTTGGCTATGCTTGAGCTGGTGGCCGGGTCTTTGTACAAATGAAATTAAGTGCTCTCTACGTCTGCTCTCACTGGATCTGCAGCGGTAAGCTCACAATCCCAGGCTAATGTAGACTGGTCCCTCCCTCTGTTCTGCCTGTCTCTCGAGCTCGCGGCTGAAATTCTCTGCCGAACCGATGAAGCAGCGCTCCTTGAAAGTGGAAGGCGGGGGCCCACCATCCCATCCAAGGAAGGAAACACCCAGACTAACCAAGAAAGCAATCCCTCAACAAGCCTCGATCAGGGCTGCCAGCTCGGGGCCGGTGAAAGAAGCCAGCAGCTCGGCCCCTCAGTGTCTGACTCTGTATGAACTCAGGGCTTTCCTCCTCTCCCACAAAGTCACACCTCATGGACTGACCCAAGCAATCTAGGCCAACACGTGCCCCAAAGCTAAGCCTCGAAGACCTAATGTCACTCAGCCTATATCATGTAGTTGGCATTGAATGGGCCGCAGGCGTGTTGGCGGATGGCAAGTGAATTCCGTCTTGCAAACGTTGCAGATCCTGCGCCCAAAGACAGGCCTCCCCCCTTCACGGCACTCACAGAGCACTTCAGAGCCTTTGTCGCGTGTCGTGGTCATAAAGGTCTGGATGAGTAGGCTGAGACACAAGGACAGCTCGCTGCCACATGCGTAAGCCTAAGCCACAAGTTGTGCTCACTACTTCTCTCATGCGGGGTTCTGATTTCTGAGAGCCTCGCATTTCAGGTGAACATACTTCTGCCCTCCGGAGCATCGGCATGGAGAGATCAGCTCATCCACCTGCTCAGAAAAATCTGTCCAACCGCGTTGACTTTCTCCAGCAGGCATGACCCCTGGTTCAAGTAACTTTGTCAGCACATTATGAGCCTACAGACCTCAGTGAGGTACACGATCCAAAGCTATCGACAACATCGGTCACGCAGGATGAAGCTATCAATCTGGATTCCCATGCTGATCCTGCGCATTCTCCTCAAGCCTGCGACCCCCCGATCGTTCCAGTGTGTACTTGCAAGTGACACTAGCCTTGCTGAATGCGTTGTCTCTCATCAGCAAGTGAGCTTTCGCTTGCTGCATTAAATCTTCTCTTCTAGACATTCTGCTGATTAGCAATTGGCATGCCTGCAAGTGTTCTGCAACACTGCCAGCGGAATCCTACATTAAATTTTGCCACACCAACAATATTCGATTTCTCATCTTCAGCATGTTGGCAAGTCCGTGCGGGCAGTCCCATCATGTGGGAGTGGCAACTTTCACAATTCCACGCTTGGACAGAGGTGACTACAGGGCTCCTCGGCCTGTTTGGCCACTTTAGATTTCGGAAAAGAAATTGGCCTCGGCTCTGACCCAAGTCTGCTTATCAACGCCACTCGCAGGCACGCCGTGCGATAACTTTCGAGGGCTCCACCTACCACAACAAGATGGAGAAATTCGTCTTGATTGCACATCGTACTCTGCTATAGGTCAGTGCCTTCCTCGTCTAACCCATCTCTTGCTCCCACCTAGACAAACAACCTGGACTCCACCAGAAACAATACTGCAGCCACGTCTATTCCGAACACACCAGCATGTCATCGCCCCCAGTCCAGATGGTATCCCGGGTGTACGGGGGGTCAGCCCAAACCCCAACGATTCCCAAATCCCACGCACAGCCTCAAGGACTCCTGAAGTTCTAGACGAATTAGGAAACGAAACCCTCCACAAGATCTACAAGGCGCTTGGCCCCTTTCTTATGTGTATCTCTGCGTGCGAGGAGCAGCCTTGCCCTGCACATGAAAGAAATCCGAATTTGTATGGCTGCTGGATCGGAGAGGGTGTCACTTAGCCAACCTTTTTTCCGGGTCACCCAGACAACCTGGATCCCGCACCGTTTCGGGTCATTTAACAAAAACTTTTGCGGGTCACTTAGTCGACTCAGGATTCTGGGACAGCCTGAAGGGCGTTTAGGGGTTTTGCATTTAGGGTTTAGGGTTTCGGGATAAGGGGTTTTGGAGTTAGGGTTTAGGGGTGTTGGATGTAGGTCTTTAGGGGTTTTGGATTGAGGGTTTAGGGTTAAGGGGTTTTGGATTTAGGGTTCAGGGTTGAGGGGTTTGGATTTGGGGTTTAGGGTTAAGGGGTTTTGGATTTAGGGTTTAGGGTTTGGGGGTCTTGGATTTAGGGTTGAAGAGGTTTTGGTTTTAGGGTTTAGGGGTGTTGCATTTAGGGTTTAGGGTTTAGGGGTTTTGGATTTAGGGTTTAGGGGCTTTGGATTTCGGATTTAGGCGTTTGGGTTTTAGGGGTTTTGGAGTTAGGGTTTAGGGGTTTGGGATTTAGGTAGGGTTTGAGGGTCTAGGGGTGTTGGATTTAAGGTTTTTGGGTTTAGGGGTGTATTACCATTACTTGGGGTTTGGGGGGGTAATTTGGGTTGTGAACTTTTAAAATGCTAAAATTTCAAAATTAAGGAAATGTGGGTACCCTAAGTAATGGTAAGTTTATATGGGCTTGTGGATTTAGGGTTTAGGGTTAAAAGGTTTTGAATTAGGGTTTAGGGTTAAGGGGTTTTGGGGTTTAGGGGTGTTGGATTTAGGGTTTAGGTTTTAAGGGTTTAGGATTTAGGGTTTGAAGGTTTTGGATTGAGGGTTTAGGGTTTCGGGTTTGAAGGCTTTTGGGTGCATATTTAGGGTTTAGGGTTTAGGGGTTTTGGATTTAGGGCTTCAGGGTCTTGGATTTATGGTTTTGGATTCAGGGCTTTTTGATTTCGGGTTTGGGGTTCAAGGTTTTTGGATGTAGGGTTTAGCGTTTAAGGGTTTTGCATTGAAGGTTTGAGGGTTTCAAATTTAGGGTTTAGGGTTTAGGGTTTAGGGGTTTTGGATTTAGAATTTAGGGTTTAGGGTTTTTGGATTTAGGGTTTAGGGTTTAGGGGTTTTGGATTTAGGGTTTAGGGTTTAGGGGTTTTGATTTAGGCTTGGAGGGTTTGGATTTAAGGTTCAGGGTTTAGGCGTGTTGGATTTAAGGTTTAGGTTCAGGGATTTTGGATTTAGGGTTTGAAGGTTTAGGATTTAGGGTTTAGGGGTGTTGGATTTAGGGTTTGAAGGTTTTGGACTTAAGGTTTGAAGGTTTAGGGTTTGTGGAATTAGGGATTATGGCTTTGGGATTTAGGGTTTTAGGGGTCTTGGACTTTGGGTTTAGAGTTAAGGGTTTGAAGGTTTCAGGGTTTAGGGTTTCGTGGTTTGGGATTTATGGTGTAGGGTTTAGGGGTTTTGGATTTAGGGCTTCAGGGTTTTGGATTTATGGTTTTGGATTCAGGGCTTCTTGATTTCGGGTTTGGGGTTAAAGGTTGTTGGATTTAGGGTTTAGCGTTTAAGGGTTTTGCATTTAGGGTTTGAGGGTTTTGAATTTAGGGTTTAGGGTTAAGGGTTTAGGGGCTTTGGATTTAGCGTTTAGGGTTTAGGGGCTGTGGATTTAGGGCTTCAGGGTTTTGGATTCATGGTTTTGGATTCAGGGTTTTTTTGATTTGGGTTTAGGGTTAAGGGGTTTTGGATTTAGGGTTTAGGGTTTAGGGGTTTTACATTTAATTTATGGTTTAGGGTTAAGGGGGTTTGGATTTAGGGTTTAGGGTTTAGCGTTGTTGCATTTAGGGTTTAGGGTTAAGGGGTTTTGGATTTCGGGTTTAAGTTTAAGGGGTTTTGATTTAGGGTTTGAGGGTTTGGATTCAGGGTTCAGGGTTTAGGCGTGTTGGATTTAAGGTTTAGGGTTCAGGGGTTTTGGATTTAGGGTTTAGGGGTACTGGATTTAGGGTTTAGGTTTTAGAGATTTCGGATTTAGGGTTTGAAGGGTTTGGATTGAGGGTTTAGGGGTTTTGGATTTAGAGTTTCAAGGTTTAGGGGGTTGTGGAGTTAGGGTTTAGGGCTTTGGGATTTAGGGTTGTTGGGGTTTTGGATTAGGGTTTAGGGTTAAGGGTTTGAAGGTTTTAGGGTTTAGGGTTTAGGGGTTTTGGATTTAGGGTTTAGGGTTTAGGGGTTTTCGGATTTAGGGCTTCAAGGTTTTGGATTTATGGTTTTGGATTCAGGGCTTTTTGATTTCGGATTTAGGGTTAAGGGGGTTTTGGATTGAGGGTTTAGGGTTAAGGGGTTTTGCATTTAGGGTTTGAGGGTTTTGAATTTAGGGTAAGGGTTTAGGGGTTTTGGATGTAGGATTTAGGGTAGGGGTTTTGGATTTAGGGTTTAGGGCTTCCTGGTTTTGGACTTAGGGTTCAGCGGTTTTGGGTTTGAGGGTTTTGAATTTATGGCTTAGGGTTTGGGGGTTTTAATTTAGGCTTCGAGGGCTTGGGGGTCGATTTCGGATTTGGGGTTTAGGATTTAGGGTTTAGGTTTTGGGATTTTGGATTTAGGGTTTAGGGTGTGGGGGCTTTGGATTTCGGATTAAGGGTTTGGGTTTTAGGGTTTTGGAGTTAGGGTTTAGGGGTTTGGGA